CCCTCTCAACCGCAGGGGGGGTCCCGCTCCCCCCGTCCCCAACCCCTGTACACTGGGCTCCGCCACTGAGAAGGCTGCCTCCACCTGCCCCGCCGCAGAAGCCAGGCGTCGATGTTCATTGCGGCTCCCACTGTACAGGATGGCCTCTTGCGGTGACCCCCCAAAGAGTGCTGGAAGCCAAATTGCTTCCGAGGGGCTTTGATGGTTGGGGACTGCCTGGCTGGTAACAGTGGATGGGGGGTGGGGATGCCCTGCGAGGCTGGCAGAGCGACGGTCATCCGTGAATTGTTCACTGCAGCGGCAGTTCTCTCCTTTGGCTCTTCCCATGAGCACTGCGAAGTTATTGTGGCAGATTTGGGGTGTTTCACTGTTTATGTGTTTATGTTGTACCACAGCCAGTCTGATGTTTTGTTTGTAAGCTGCTGTGAATTTGGATGGACATACCAAACAAACGAGCATTATAATTTCCTTTTATTATTACTCTGTGCAGACATATATGGCAATGCAGAACTGAGGCTACCAGACCCGGACTGCGGGATTTTCCCTTATGGGCGGCGGGAGCTGGAATCCAAGTCAAGCAGATGCAGCGCCCAGCCCGTAATACATCCCAGCTGAGCAGACAGATTTGCTCAGATGCTTATCCAGGATCGGACAGGATGACCTCCTCTGCCTTTCCAACCCTGTGATTCTGTAATGCACGGAAACAGAAACCTTCCCTTTTCCTGCACTGATTCAGAGGAAAGTTAGGCTCAGGGACGCCTTCTGGTCTTGGTCCCAGCGAGGAAGAAGAACCTGCTTCTCAAAAGCAGAGGGGGAAAAGGAGGTGATCTGATTAAGCGTTGACGGTGCCTGGGGGTTCCAACTGGGTCCTTTTTACCAGGTAATAAAAAGGGCGTTGGGTGGACCTGCAGAACTGGGACGGCCTCCCACCTCTCACTGGCAGTGAAGAGAGGAAGGAAGATGACCATGATGGAGAGACGCAAGATTCATCGCCAGGGCATCGAGGTCATCTTCCTCCTGCCCTGCAGGCAGCGGGCTCTTCCCCACCAAAGTCTTCCAGGCACATGGCAGGTGGGATGTCAGAAAGAGAATACATTCAAGGCTTTTTTCTCTCCAGCGTTGGTTACCCTAAACCTTATTAAAAAGAAGAGCGTGTAGAGTATTGGCTCCCAGACCGGCAGCTAAGAGGAATCGAAGCATTCCTTTCCTATCTGCCGCTTACTTTATCCCCTTCAATGTTGAGCTGGCATGTTGGCATCAGATGCAAACTGATGACAATGTAATTCAAGCTTGAAATCTTTCTTCTACTCTGTTCTTAAAGAATAAGATTATGTTAATCACGTGGACCAAATGCAAGTATTTAAACTGACATCTAAGGAAAAAGCAGCTGGCTTTCAACATGGTCATTAGCTTATGGAGAGAAAGTTAGTTTAACAGTTATTGTTCGGGAAGCAATTGGATTTTATCTTCAGGAATCCTGAACGGGGACAGAGAGGGGACGGTCAATCATTTTGAAAGCAGAGGAGAAGCAGGTTTAAGGAAGCTTCCACCGGTAGGCTCTGTGGCGCTTAGCTCCTTTTTCAAAGCTTCATGTCTTTTTTCAGGAACGCCACCTTCATTGAACATGATCCTTTCCCTCGTACGATCCAGATTAAGGTTAATCAGACAGTTCCTTTGTAAGCAGTTTTCGTGTCCTTTTCCATTTACATTCTGGACTTCAACTTACCGACGGCAGGTTTATTGTTACAAAATTCTGACCACCAGGATGGCCTTTCCAGTATCTTCGGGCCCTGAAGAACTGCACCCCATAGATTTTTATAGAGCTGGAAAAACATAACAAAAAACAAGAGAAGTTTCAGTCAAAGCAGTAGGTTTCAACCTTTTTTAAAGAGTCTCCACTGAGTGCAGCAGCCCTTATAAATCTAAACAGTTAAATGGACAAGTAAAAAAAGAAGCCAGCCAACCAACCCAGCGTCTACTCTTAATCCAGATCTGCAATCTGGCAGACGGTGCGGGATAATGAAAACAAGGACCAACAGGCTGAAGAATAGCTTCTATCTCAGAGCTGCAACTATACTGAATGCTATCGTATAGTGCAGTATTAATGCAGCATCAGGGGTTGTGCAATATGGAATGTGAAGGTT